TGGGCTGAAGTATGAATCCATACCTGTGAAGGTTTACTACAGTGAGGTAATTTGAAAAGTTGAGGGATCTGTGTATGTGATCTGTAATGGTTCAAGAAGAAATTGTATATATTAAATAACATGTAAATGGCTTGAGAAGGTCTCTGAACATAAATTATTGAAGTGTCCACAGGTTGCAGGTGGAATAACTAATTCCCAAAATTTTGTTCTCGAATCCCGGGGAAGTTCTGACAATGAGTCTTCTGAAATGAAAAACCTTTTAACTGTAATCAATTGAAGATGAATACATTCAAAGGTATACATGAAATGCTTGAAATGTAAAATATTTAAACCTACAAAACTGTTACAATACATGTTCATTACATGCACTGGGATACAAACTCAGGGTGTTACAGTGTTCTTATTTGGTGCAAATATTGATATATCAATAACTGTCTGTATGTGTATTGAATTATAATACATTATTTGTTAGAATTTGGTTTATTGTATTCAGTGAAAAATACCAGTACATGTGTTCACAATAAAATATAATAAACTGCAAAGTGCACGTTTAAATATAATATAAATGTCATAAACTGTAAAGTGCACGTATAAATATAATATAGATATAATAAACTGTAAAGTGCACCTATAAATATGATATAAATATAATAAACTGCAAAGTGCACCTATAAATATAACATGAATATAATAAACTGCAAAGTGCCCTATAAATATGATATAAATATAGTAAACTGCAAAGTGCACCTGTAAATATAATATACATATAATAAACTGCAAAGTGCACCTATAAATATAATATAGATATAATAAACTGTAAAGCGCACATATAAAAATAATATAAATATAATAAACTGTAAAGTCAGTACTATCCTCTCTTACAAGCAGTTGAGAATTTGTCACAGTAGTCAGAGGTTTTTCATGTGATCATCAGGTGATTGCACAAAGCGGACCATATCCATGGAGGCACATGTATTCTCAAATCATGTATATCTGTTGGCAGTGTCATATATGCCTCAATGTTGAGAGACTTCAAAAGTGTGTGCATTCCGCGCACATGTGTGTAAATTGAACGTTGACTGTCAAAAATCATGTGACTAAAAATCCTCTTTATCATATGGGCATGCTCAACGTACGGTCTGTTTCTCAATTTTATTTCTCATGCCAATTTCATCCTACTAGATGTATGTTGTAAAAGATATTTTGTTCTAGAAAACAAACATTTACTGTTGTGGCTAGGATTTTTTTTTCATTGTTTAGTGTGTTTTGATTAGCTTGTGTGTTTCACATTTTTTGTTTAAGTAATGCCTTACACGTATTCATTAGGTTTGGGTTGACTCTATACATGCCTTTGCAACAGGTTGAGAGACACTTCAAAGTAAACATCATGAATAGTCAATGAGGTAAACCACAGGCCGTTTCCTGTAGCACTGTCTTTTGGTCCTTGTTGCTCATCTTGCCACATCATCATTCTGATACTAACCTAGTACCTGTACATGCACACATGTATTTTCCACTTGTGCCATTGGTTGACCACCAAGTCCTCAGTCTATATTCAGAAAGTTTCTTTGAGGATCTGCAGGTGAATTTGCATTTTTATTATTTGAAGAAGTGCTTCTAATATTGTATTTTAAGTGCATACAAGGTCCAGAGACTACTTTATTGCAGTGAAGATTCCTCAGGTAGTTTCTAGTTACGTTCACAGATTTCCAGTTTCTTGAAAGTATTTGGGATTCATTGACTTCCAGTTTCTGCATTGATTTTTGGTTTTGTCCAGTGTATATAGTTGCACGTGAGTCTTTTCAGAGTTAAAATTCCTAGTGTTTGGAAGACTTGAGATCACATTGTTATTAATGCCTTGATTTGGTCTGCTGTTTGGCTTCCTAAGTGTAACTGAAGGTTCTAGTTATTTTACGATGGTCGCGTGGTGGAACTGTATTTTCTTGAAATCTTGATCTTGAAAATGTGTAATGAATTTGCTTTGCCAGCAGGAATGATAGACTTGATGTTTGTACAAAGATTCTTTCAGTTCATTCATGAAAAGCCATTGTGCCATTTCAATTATTCTTTATGCATACGTGCAGAACTCTTACCCTTAGTGCTATTTGCTATGCTAAGTCTTGTTCATTGAGGCAGAAACCTTAGTGCTGTATAATTAAATGTTGTCTCAACTCTTAGCTTTGTTTTATTGCTTAAAAGATTTGTATAGATGATAACGATATTGTGGTTCTGGTGCTGAGTAGTTATATTGCATGTACTGCATATACATACTGAAGCAATAATTGATATGTTGTCACTGCACATCTCTCTTCTCTGGGTGGGACAGCCATGCCTTCCAAGGTCTATAGTTGAGTGTTCATAAACAGCAGGCAGGAGGATTAGGTTCTTGTTAAAGAATATTAGCTGTTTCCCTTTTGATTACATGCATTACTTTGGTGGGATTTTCGAATTTACTTTGGATTTTTCTTTCTTCTTTGTTTCTTTGAACATGTAGCTTCTGTAACCCAGCCTTTTGTTATTATACATTCTGAGTGAATAAACGTATTGTAGCCACTGGAAAACAATATTTTGCCATCACAATGACTAAAGATATACAGTAACACCTGTAATCTCACTTCCCAACTGTTGTCTTTTTCGAGAAAATCTTGATCACTATGCTCTTCTTCCATTAACTTTTTTCCACAGGTTTTGCATCATCACCATGTCCCAGTGGATGCAACAAATCAATGTAGCTTATTTTAGTGGCAGACCTTTACTGGCTATTCTTTCCTCAGATCACCTGCCGGTTCCTTGACATTGCCTCCCAGCTATTCTTCCCTCAGATCAGCTGCCGGCTCCTTGAAATTGCTTTACTGGCTATTCTTTCCTCAGATCACCTGCCGGTTCCTTGACATTGCTTTACTGGCTATTCTTTCCTCAGATCACCTGCCGGTTCCTTGACATTGCCTTCCAGCTATTCTTCCCTCAGATCAGCTGCCGGCTCCTTGAAATTGCTTTACTGGCTATTCTTTCCTCAGATCACCTGCCGGTTCCTTGACATTGCCTTCCAGCTATTCTTCCCTCAGATCAGTTGCCGGCTCCTTGAAATTGCTTTACTGGCTATTCTTTCCTCAGATCACCTGCCGGTTCCTTGAAATTGCTTTACTGGCTATTCTTTCCTCAGATCACCTGCCGGTTCCTTGACATTGCCTTCCAGCTATTCTTTCCTCAGATCAGCTGCCGGCTCCTTGAAATTGATTTACTGGCTATTCTTTCCTCAGATCACCTGCCGGTTCCTTGACATTGCCCTCCAGCTATTCTTCCCTCAGATCAGTTGCCGGCTCCTTGAAATTGCTTTACCGACTATTCTTCCCTCAGATCAGCTGCCGGCTCCTTGAAATTGTTTTACTGGCTATTCTTCCTTCACTGACCAATATTATTAATTTATCTTTAATTAATAGTAGAGTTCCCAATATTATGAAGGCTTTAGTTTTGTCATTGTGTAAATGAGGTGATAAATCTAATATCTCTGTCTTGCAGTTTACAAACAATTATATGAGTCTGTAAATGATGGCTTATACATTCTGATCAATTTGGCTTTCATTCTCAACACTCCACTATTACCATACAGAAATTGTTACTCAGTGGAGCAGAAATGTTGATAGTGGAGACTTGACTGGTGTTGCTTTCATTCCGACCTCTGAAAGGCCTTGGATACCATCAATAATGACATTCTGCTATGTAAATAGGTTTCACTTGGCTTCTCGAAGAACTTAAATGAGTTGGTTTGCTTGCTACTTGTGTAGACGTACACAGAGAGTTTCTTTGAAGAACAAATTTTCTAATCTGTTCTTGGCCCTCTTCTTTACAATTTATGTAAATACCTTACCAAGTACAGTCAGTGAAGGGATAATTGATATGTATGCAGATGATGTGACCCTTTAAACGTCTTCAGAAATTGAACAGATATTATATTTTTGTGCTAAGTGGCATTTCTAACTGGTTGAATGCACATCATCTTGTTTTAAATCATGAAAAGTCAACACAAGTTAGGCACTGTAACATTTCTGGTAGAGATTAATGATCATGTGCCGAATCAGGTTGTTTAGACAAAATGTCTTGGATTTATTATTGACGAAGAATTTAATTGGTCCGATCACGTTAACAAAGTTGCGAGTACAGTCCAGGCAAAACTGAGTATGCTCAGATGAGTCAAACTATTTTTACCACTGAGCTCTCTTAAACTTCATTATAATTCTTTTATTTTACCACATTTTGACTGGTCTGCCCATTTCAAAAAGCACTCTAACTTGTCAAGTTACAGAAGAACACTGTCAGAATAATTCCAGGTAAAGGATTTAACACATCAGGGAGCAAATTAATGGATGAATTACAATTTCTTTATCTAAAGGCAGTCTTCATGTATAAGTATATCCATGATCGTGTCCCTAGTTACATGTAGTTACCTAACCAACAATATCATTAAACTTTCCAGTATTCACAGCCACACAACGAGGCAGTCAGTGTCAGATTGTTTGAAGATTCCCAAGTTTAAATCAGATTGTTTTAAGTACAGCCCATTTGCAAAAGGTTTGTCAATGTTAAACAGTTTACATCTCAATATCAGATCTCCCTCTGTGGATGTTTTAAGAAATCTATGATTGACTACTTTTTAACACAAACTTCATAATTTAGTTCGACCTTAGTAATGTTTGTATTGTTTTATATTTTCAAATATTTTTATACATTTTATATAAATATGTAATTTAATTTGACAAGTCTTTTTGTACCTCGTTTATTTATGTGGATTTTTTCCTTATTACTGTTTTGATGATTTTAGGTGTTTGTTGATGTAAATGTTGTTTTCATTGTATTATTGTTGCATTCTTGTACATGCAATATGTTTGTTTGTCCCAGGGCCCTGTGGAAAACCAGTTCTGAACAGGCTACCTTGGTAAAAAGGATAAGAAAATCAATAAATACTAATTTAAAATATAACAAGAATATTTTTCTGATTGCAGAAAGTTTCTCAAAGATAATACTGTTCATGGTCAGTGGAGAGAAGTCAAATCGAGTAAAAGAAAGAAGAAAAAGAATCAATTGGTGAGACTTGTTAATTCCCATGAACATTAAAAACCTTCCATTCAACAAACAAGTATCTTTCAGATGTGTGGCATTATTGCTTTGATACTTAGAAGGCTTTGTACTTTGAATGGGGTGCAGAATTATCAACTACAACAAGTTCATATGGTAGGAGGTATTCACATGGATCAATCAAGTATGTGGCAAATCATAAGAGAAGCTCTAATAGCCCAAATTATATGGACAAAACTTCTGGAAGTCAATACTTTTCAGTGCCCTTCAATGCTAACAAAACTCTTGACATGCAGGTTCTTTTCTTATTTCTTGCTAGTTTTGTTTGATTTGAGTCAAATTTGTTATTGTTCTTATTTGGCTACATTTGTTCTATTTTTCTGTCAGTATTTAATCACAGGAGATGTTTCAAAAACCGAGCGTCTTGCTTTGCAACCAAACATCTATGCCCATCGAGAACAACCTAAGTCCCACAGGAAACTAAACCAAACACCCACAGCAGACAAGGTAGATGTTTTGGAAGTGGTTCATTGATACTCATTTGATTGCGAATGCTCATTTATGAAAAAAATATAAATTTATACAGATGTTCCTGTTAACCAGTTGCTGCCGGGTGGATTTTTCTTGAGCAAGACAAGGTGCCAGGTCCTTTTCAAGATTTTCCGTTTTCAAAATTCTTCAAAAACTTCATTTCCTACATGAAGGACTCTTTGGACACTACTCTAAAGCTGACAGTTAACCTTCATTGACTTTGGAATATTTCAGCTAGGCTTGCAGCCTAGGAAAAAGAGCCCAGATTGTGCGGTGTTACGTAAGATTTTTTTTGTTCCCTAAACCAGCACAGTGCACTGCTGACCTCTTTTCAATAGGGGCCAGATTAGCGTGCAGCGTTGCTGAGTGGCTCATCGCTGTGGTGGTGGAGCGCTTTTGTCCCCAGTGGTAATCCGTTCTAAATGCCTCAAACCATGGTATACTGTTTCAAAACAAGGCTGGATTATCTCCACTATTGAGAGTGAAAAACTGTAGGTAATGCCCAGCAGCTCAGTCTTTTGTGCGGAGCATGGTCTTTTGTTATAAGGCCCAACTCTGTTGTCCCAGTTTCAGGCTCCCTGGCTCTTCATATAAAGCCTATGTACTCGAAAATGGGTCGCCCGGCAGGGAGTGGTTAAGTTAATGTGTACCTTCACTTTTTATGTTTGCCAGTGCATTAATCCAAGCATACCAAGTCATAACTCTCAGCCTACATTCAACTTTAGAAGCAAATTAGAGGTCCATATCTTTTTACAACAGATCATAAGGAGGTTTTGCGTATCAGTTTCTGAGAAAGAAGTAAACTTGTTGCTGACAAACATGGAAGTTGTGTATAGATTTTAAAATTTACAAAGGATCACATCATGATGTAATCGTGATCCCATCCATTATAAACCATTAACAGAATCATTGTATTGGCCAGGTCTTATATGGATAACCAGTTTTGGACCCGACTAGGAAACGTACGTGTAGGACTTGGTAAAAGATTAACAAATTAACCAAAATTGCATAATGATCTCATTGCTGCATCACTGTGGGTGACATATGCACAACAAACTGATTTTTAAGTTTTCAAGTTTCAAGTGGATTTTAATTTAAAAATACAAAATATTCAAAGATATAGTTATATGATCAAAACTTCAGATTCTACCTATCAATTAAATTTCATATTCATCAAACAAACCAGTATTATTTCCAGGATTACAAATCCAACATTCCAGTTTTTAAGTCACCATAATGAGGGTCAAAATATTTTTCAAACAACCCATATATCTACTGAAGGATATGCCTGCATACGTAGATTCATCCCAAATAGACAGACCGTTCATGAGATACAGCAGCTTAACATTCACACATAAATAACAGCACATGACCAATAATGACATCATCATAACTTCATTTTTGTGTAAGACCATATTTTTGTCATATTTTCCATTTTAACATGGTCATAGGACTTCATATACATGTATTTCAATCTGAAGGGATATAGGCTTTGGAAGGGGAAGTGATGGATGGCCTATAGAGTGTTTTAATAGGCTGGTTGCCAGTATGAACACTTGCACAAGCTAAGCACCTTCACATCATAATTATGCCATCTTGAGTTTATTATTATAACACATCCCATTCGACCCACATACAATAATTGAAAGTAATCAGAGATAAGGTTCTCTAGTTATAGGTCCTTAAAAGGTGTACTTTTTAAAATTTGTCTAAAATAACGTCATGTGACTCCTGATCAAGTCGTCATTCTCTATCTGAATTTTCTTCTATCAGACAGATAGATATCTGGTTTATGAACATGATTGAAATCAATGCAACCTACTATTGTTTAGTAACAGGCCCTTAAAATGTGCACATTTAAGATTAAGCGACATGACCAGCAATAATGTCATAATGACATCATGTAAAGTTTCACCCACAACATATTCCTCTTTCAGAGGCCTTGTAGCCAGGATTCTGAGCACAGGGTGGAGGGAGTGTGGGAGCTGAGTGGATGTTAACATATACGTGTACACAATCATAATCACATCAAGTGGAGGGGGTGACTGGGAGGTTGAATATTTTTTATGGGGGTGTGTGTGGCCCCCCCAGCAACACCATTGTCGTTGAGTGCATGGAGAGTTTCATGGATGTCGGATTTGTAGTTTTGATTTGTAATTTAGATTTGTAGAATGATTTCTGTATTTTTTTCCTTTCAAAAGAAGTTACACTACAAAAATAATCAATTTGTAATATTTAAAAATATTTCTGTGTTATTCTGTGTAGGTTTTTCTTGTTGTTAGTATAACTGCCGATAATAAAGGCTTTTGTTTTAGGTTGGTAGGAACTGGACTGGTTTTAGGGACTTTTTATCATGGGTGGGTCGCGTAAATTAACAATAAGACAAGATTAAAGCCTTGCACAATGAATACCGATATTTATTCCATCATTTGATGGGCAATTCCAGATAATAACTCTCAATATTGATTTGTAACAATTTTTTAAAAATTAGGAGTCTTTTTTTGTAACTTCTAGTCTGTGATGACGTTACCACTGTCAAGCTTGGCATATGCTTTGTTTGCATTAAGGTCATCATATACGCCAATTTTCAAGCAATTATGTAAACTTCGCCACAAACTTGATTCAATGTGCATTTTTCAAGCTACCTCTAGAGGGCGCTCAAGAAAATCATGACGTCACCAGTACATGTGTTGAAGAATAATATTCGGCCAGAGAGAGAGACTAACACTATTGAAAGCAAGTTAATATCACCAGTTTTAAATAATAAGCCGCTTCGTGTTTTGACTGGTTTTGGCCAGAAGCAAGGGGCATGTGATTGATTATACCTACTGGGCAAAAAATGAAGACCTCAAGTTACTCTACAACTTGGCACAAATAGCAAGTTGCAGGAAGTCATTGTTGAATGTATACAGATTTTTTTTTAAAGATTAAACATATAAAATTCTAATTGCCTGTAATTTTACAACTGATGACTTTCTTATGACATTGTTTCTTCAGCACCATCTTTAGTTGGTGTAACTTTGATTAATATGCAATGTTACAAAGTGATCAAAGAGGCCCCTTGAAATCTATGTACAAAGTCTGTGGGCTAAACTAAATATACAAAAGTTCATAATAAACCATGTGATGACGTCATCCTGACACCATGCATCCAAAAAGGAAATCTTTGTAGGGTCTTTTACCTAGGTAAAGTTTTGTTGGGATATGAGTTTGTTTGAAGTCAAAGTCCCAGGCGAGAAAAGTGTGTTCAAAGTGAATGGGTTTTTGTTGAGAACAGGCAGAGTAAGGCTTTTCACAATTGGTTCTTTCTGTAAATTAGGAAGTCCAGTTTTTTTGTGTCCCTTTCACATCTACCATATGATTTTGTGAATTCAGAATGCATTCTCTAATTTCCAAGAGTGATGAATCAATGCAAATTACTTGTCAAACAAATAGAAATAGTTTGAAATCAATTTTGGTGACATTTCAATGTCACACCTTTGGACGCTGAATTTATAGAATAACCCAGTTACGCAGAAAATTGCCCCCAAATAAGCAGAGAAGCCAAATAGAAAGGCTTGTCTGTAACTGTGTTTAAAAAGTTTTTCACATGCATGCCTCATTATGTTTCCAAATGTATTTTTGTTGGCAGAATCGACTTTCTGGAGGTTTTCAGCGTTCCCGAGAGCCCTACCTGTATCCAATCCAGAAGCAACTCCCTTCCCTTTCTGGTACAGGCACAGCAAATACAAATGTCACACGCAAAGTTTCTGATGTCTGTGTTACATACCACCACCAGCAACACCACAGCAACCCGTATGTCTGCTGCAAGCACTCCAAATCTGATGCAGAAAACATTACGGAGCATGCTAGTCATTGGACACATGGAATGCAAACAGCATTAGAGGGTGTTGTGGCACCTGATAGAACTACATTGAGCAAGAGCCCTGGACACTCTTTGATGCCACTCAAGAGTACCCGAGGGGAACGATTTCCAAGTCTGCCTGATTTTAGAGATGGTCCATTCTAAACTGCTACGTACCATCACATCTTATTTGTGCTTAGCATGAAGCCGTACTCCCTGGCATAAACAGCTCTTTAGCAAACTCTGTAAATGAATACAAATGAAAGTGTGGATACCATATCTCCCACAATAAATTATTATTTAACTTGCAGTTAGCTTTCCCTTCATGTAGATTGCCACGCCAACTACATTTTTGCCTAGTCCTTGAGCAAATACAGGCCAGATTTGGAATCTGTGTAGGCACAGCAGGTAACATTGCATGATAACAATGCTGGCACTGCAGCGGGGGACTACCTTGTTAAACAGATATTGTAGGGGCCTACAACCTAATTCCTAATAAAAGAACTACATGTATACCTAACAAAGACATTCTCTCCTTCACACTAATGGTCCAAGCATAGCATCTCAGCAAAGGTGTAAGAGAGAAATAATATTCAAGTGTCTATTCAACTTTTGTCATTGTCCCTGTTGAGACTATTTATAGTCACTGTTCATTGCTTATCACTGAGCCTGTTGAACATACCATACTCATTCTACAAGAAATTTTGAAGAGTGTACGGAATGCATTTAGCTATATTTGGGATGAGCAAGGAATTTTGGACGACAGTTTTGGCTTTCAATACTTGATTGTTACAACCCCCAAGAATACTCCAACCATCAGGCATGCCATGATATAGAATAGAAATGACTAGACTCATATCTCTAAGGTTTGCAATAATTTGTTCCAAACAAACAAGACAGCAAAAAAATTGTTAAAGCTTTCTGAATTGTCTTTATTTTCAGTGTTCATGTAGGGATAATTTCAGTTTTACGTTGGACTCAAATACAGGTGAAAGCAAGTATGGCAAGAAAATATAGGCAAACATAGGCAAATAAATAAAATGTAACAGGTAAACTGATAACTCAAGAGAAGAGATAAAATAAGTGTATAAACCATAAGTGGACACATAACAATGCCTAACTTAATTCAGAACCTAGAAAGTGAAATATGGAAGCAAAGAAACATGTATAGAAAATTTTCAAAATTTCATTCTGTTTATGTTTAACACAATTTTTAGTGTGTAAAATGGCAGTTTTGGGGAAAAAAATTAAATTAAAACTTTTGACAATCACATTTGTGAGGCAGGATGTCACACATTTGAATGGGCAAGTAGCATCAGTGACTGAAGTTCACTTTACTAAACAATTGCTGTCCACTCTGTGTAGGAACAAGAGATATACATGCAGCAATTATCCTTGAGACGGAACTCATGACCACTTGTGCTTGCAGGTTGAAGCACACTTTGCTGTAAGACATGCTAAGCACACACAACCACTTTATGTTGAAATGTGTGCCAGTCACATGCAAGAGCACCGATAAAAAGTCGCCAGCAGCCTGTCTCTTCATTGCTGTTGAGAGGCTGCTTTAATCAGTGTGGATACTAAACAGTTTAATGGACCCTGTTGGGCTTGTTACAGCAGTGGTCAACTGCAAAGAGATCCATACATGTGTAGCCCCTGGGAGAAAATATGGTCATATTCATGGTGTTCATTTGCAGGCAAAAGAGTTCTTGTTAGTGAGCAACTTCACAATATACTGCTTATAGTTGGGATTGGATGTTTTGCGGTATGCAGGAACACTTGATTTAAGCATAAGCTGGTTCAACTTGGGAGCAATCTTCTACAGCCATCATGAACACAAAGCCTTCCCGGTAACAATGCATCACTGTGTCCCACCCTCTGCCCCCCCCCACAAAGATCTGCCAGTCATATACGTGTACATTATTAAGACTTGTTCCTGTTGAAATAACAAGCAAATACATGTGCTTGTAATAGCACTGTGCACTGTTACTCTTCTGGCAAACATGGTTTGAGTGATTTTTTTAATATTGGAACTGTAGAAAGACCATGTTGTGTTTTCCTTCCCATCTGTATTGAAGTTTGTACATGTATACATAATGTATGCCTCATGGCTTTCCACATGGTTTGTGTGTTTATACAGGAATGCATATTTTTCAAATACATTGATCACTGTGTAATTGTTGCATATACCAGTCAAAATTCTAATGACCTTTTGTATGAAGATATTTTTAGCTTTTGCCCCTTAGTAGTCCTGAATGTGAAGGGTGACAAGAAAGCATGTCACCCAAAGCCCTTTCTTCTGAGTCTGATTTCCTAGGAAATCCTCAGAAGAGGATTTCTGCCTCACGGTACCAGTGACATAATGGGAGTAAATTGCTAGGGGTCGGAGGGAGTTGCACACTGCACACATTTTTTTTTCAGGAGGGGTACCGAAAGTTGATGAAATCCAGCTTGTTTATAGGTTGTGTACGGTACATTTCAAAATTTCAAATGGGGCAGAGGGCAGATCACCATAAATCTGCAGGGTTCATTATTTTTTATACTTATATAATATATGAATATTATTATTATTCACATATCTTTATGGGCATTGCAAGGTGCTTTCCTCCAGGAACAAAACATTTGAAAAATAAAGAAACAAAAGGTTTTTATGGCCAACTTACTTAGTTTTGTTTTTTGTTGGGTTTTGATTTTATTTTTGGCTTGGTTTGTTTGGCTTGGTTTGGGAGTCCAAAATTTGAAACTTATTCGTGTAATCATGCATGGCCTTTTTGGGGATGAGGATACATTTGGGAGCATTTTACACACATTTTGAAAGTAAGGGAAATGAAATGTATTAGAGAATACCTTGTCTGTCATGGTTTCTTTTAAAACCTCAAAGCAAACTAATGCAATTTAACCCCCATCTCGCTATCGCATCATCTTGGGCGTTCCCCGAAGATCTCCAAGGGGTACTCTTTCATCTACTCTTGGATGGAAACCCCTTAACGAAAGAAGAGCTTTTCACCTGACAACCCTAGTCTGTAAAGGTTTAACATCTAGATTGCCTCATCAACTCTGCAATTGTTTTCAACTAATTTCTGACTCTCATTCATACAACACCAGATCTGTTTCACAGGGTAACCTGGTGCCTCCAGTATCTAGATCTCACTCAGGAAAACATAAATTTGCCTCTCACTTTATGAAGTTTCAAGCTCCAGTACAAAAACCTAATTTTTTTTAGAATTCATGGTACTTTGGTATTATGGGTATTATGTACTTGTATGTGTATATTTATGTGTGCACACATGTTTACGTTACATACCTACTGTGGATATTCCTTTGTTTTTGTGCAGTTAAGAAAACTCAGTGAAAATACTCATTTTTCTTCAACCAGGAACAAGATTTTTGACTGTTTTGTTTGTACAAGGTTTCCTTGATTATTCCTCTTCCTTGTACCACTGATGACCCCTACCCCAAAATGCATCTAAACCCCTTTTCCAGAGAGGGGAAAACCTTGTGTGGACATGTGCAAGTCCACACAAGGCGATCATACCCTACATTTTGTGGACTTCTTTTGTGCAGAGGTCCACACTGTGTATGACACGCCTGTACACAAGAGTTTGTGGACCTATAATAGTAGGGGACAATAGGGTCCACGGTTGCCAAAGAGTCCACGGTTGGAAAATGAGTTCAAAACATATGGGAGGTCTTCCGAACATGAACAAAAGAGGAACAATAGGGAGTCATGATTGAAGGTGTTTACACACTTGAGTGGGTGTTCATGTACATGTGCTTACATACATGTACATGCACTCCGCCTTTGATGGGGGTGTATCTTCTTGACGGATAATTAGAAACAGGGTAGTGACTTGCAATTGGCCAGGATACCGTAGCAATCTTGGGGAAACTGTGATTTGTGAACGGAATGGTGGAGCTGAAACCAGTGATGAAGTCTTGGAAATAAATGGAACAGGAAACCGTGGTAACTGGGGAATAAACAGAAATAAATATTAATAAATTAACTGGAATGCACGTACATGTGCCCACTAGACAACATAATTGTACGTGTAACGTTGCAACAACTGTCCCCGATTAAGGCTAATGTACTCAAAACTCCTCTATTTTACATACTAACACAAGAATCACTATATGATCTTATACTATAAACATTAAAGAACATATGGCTGTACTCACAATTGTCAGTAACGCACGGTAAGGGCAAATTTAGAGGTATTCTGATTGGAAATGTGCTTGGTAAACATGACTTTAGAACGGAATGTACGGTGTGAGAATGAGCAAACTACTTAGGGCGCCCTACCAACTATTGCGCGGTCACTATAGACAGGGACTTTCTTACACCTAGGGTAAACAAGAAATACATTTTAAAAGACCATAATAATTAAGAGAGGTAGATTTGAGTTGACAGGCAATTTGCACAAACAGGGGACTCATTACTGCATGTCGTCTTCTTGACCTTGCCGGAACTTCTGCCTAATACATGTACATGTGTACAGATGCATGTGCGGTGAACTTCGTTCACTGGCTGCAATGTGCTGAAGTCATCTTGGAGAAGGTACTTTTAGTTTTACGCCCACGAGTTTTTGCCAACACATGCTGGGCCCTCTCTTAGATGAAACCTTCGTCCTTGCATGTAGTGATTATAACTGCACAGATGTCGCGTCATGGCCGCAGGTACCGCGCCACCGAGCGGGCGATCACCTCTTACTAGACTTCAGGTGTTGGGATTGTTTCGAATCGACAGTTGGCAGAACACTCAAGCTGTAACACTGTCTTTTTATTCCAGCAAAGCTTGGGAAGGAAAGTCTTGCTGGAGATCATATTCTTCCCACAGAAACTATCCTATTTCTTCCCATTGAGAAAAAGTCTTCCAAATCTACAAAAGCTTCCTCTAATGAATTGTCAGACTTTTCTTCCCTTCAAGAGATTCTCCAAACTGACAAATTAGACGAACAAAGCATCTTACTTCATTACAGTCATCGTGGTATTCATGATCACTGATGACGTTGTCCTGCGACAAAGGGAGTAACTTTGCACACTGTGTGCATGTGCCACGCTGTCTAATCCGCAAAGTGCCTTTAGATAGAAACGTATCCCCTAACGGAATGGAACCAGCGAGGCTATGACTATTTATCACAGTGTTGACTTCAATCATGCGCATCGTATTGAATGCGTGTTCAAAGATGGCTGTCTGTTTAATATGTCGTCCGTACAAAGTGCGTATCCAAACCTTGGCCTAAAAAGTCCCTTTTCCAGACCCCCAACTCAAGTTCTCCTACACTAGACTTTAAGGTAATCATCTTGTGTTTATGGTAAGTTACTTTTTTTAGGGTTGAGTTGCCTGTTGTTGACGTCTGTATAAGGAACTCCGTATAAGAATAGAAGGGTTGGTATACACCCAGAGGACTCCGCCAGTCAAATAACATCAAGGGCATGCACAACAAAATCGTCGCTCGGTAGAACCAGGAAGAGGCTTATCACCAAGATGGAAGCACTTGAGGTTTAGGGGTGATACAAGCCATAGAACGGGAAGATCTGAAATTGCAACAAAGAAGGCAGAGCTCACCGTCGAGGCCAAAATCGACATGGGGAAGACTGAAGAAATAGTTCACGCCATCGATGATGACCGTGTTCACATGACACCGCAAAATTCACCCCAGCATTAAATGACGCGCAGCTGCAAGAATCACCTAAAAATATTTTACCCGAAGCAGGGGATGAGCAGACACACCAGGAAGAATGAGGTTAACCCCCTGAGGATAATCCGTCGAATACGACACCAAAGAGCGCGGACCCCTGAGTGGATAAACCCAAGGCAACCGTGATGCATAATGACACCCCAGAGGACAGAGCATCACTGCTGGAACGTGCAAAAAGAACATCAGCAGTAAGGCCTGTTAGTAAGGATGCAACTTTCGAGAGTGGAGCTGCTGACCTTCGATGGCAACCCACAAGAGTGTTGGACTTTCATGCATGTATTTCAGAAAAGTGCGGACAATTCTGTTGTCGATGACATTGCTTAGCTGGTCAGGCTGCTACAGTACTGTACTGGCAAGGAAGGCCAAAGAGTGTTGTGCTATAATGCAGCCGGACGTAGGCTGCCAGAAAGCCAAGGCACTGCTAAAGAAATGATTTGGCAGCGATCATGTCACTGCCGAAGCATGGGTAAATAGAGTAACCACAAGGGCGTGGGTTTAGCTTCCCATGAAAAAGTGGTTTGAAGAATTCGTTGAATTTCCAGAAAGGGCACGGTCACATCAAGCTATTCGGCAGTAGACGACACACTTGAGTGATAGTTTCAGAGATGCTGGAGATTGGATGCTGGCGAGTCTCTCTATCATGATGACAAGCGTGTGTCAGTCCAAGACGAGAGCAACTGAATTGTGGGAGCTAGGGACTGTTTGCCTTAAGAATGGACATTATGAACTACCTTTCAAGAAAACCTGCCAAGGCTTGCTGACAATTTGATAGTCGCAGAGCAGTGCCTGACTACATTGGGCATGCATCTTGAGAGGGATCGTCAGCTTAAGTGATACTATGCAGAAAGCATGAAAGAGTTGGTTGATAAATGGATATGCTGAGGTTGAATGAGATGGTTGCACGTCGGATACAACCACATGGTATCAATACCACATAATCTGGCATGTAGCGGCAAAATGTTAGTTTTTGTTGTTATTTTTAATTGTTGGTTTTTTTTTTGAGGTTTGCGTTGCATTTTTACTGACCGTTTTTATGTTGTGTTGAAAGTTTATTTGATCAATGAGATATTTCACCAGTGATCTGTTAGAGCACCCTCTGGTGATACACAAACTTTTTGGTCAAAAGTGATGATTCCTCATGATTCCGATGATGCGCAAGTAATTCTCATGTACCATAATTTGCCCCTTAAACAATGTAAAAATTAACAAGGTTTTAAGGTCCCAATTTTTGTCACATTTGGTTGAGCACAATCGGTAAGTTTGTGGATTTATTTAAGGTGGAAACTTATGATAAATTTAAGGGATTTGAGGGTAAATTTAGTAGTTTTTGTGAAGGGTTTTTATGCATTTTGTGATAGGATAACTCAAGACAAGTTGCATATGTTTCGACACGAAAACGTTCATAAGCAAGGTGTGGACCTGTATTTATTTTCTATTGGTCAATGATTTATTGGATTTCTTATAATTGTTCAAAAGTTACATGTACATGTACTAATGTTTGTTGTTGCAGTGAACCACCAAGTATATCATCACCATCATCATCACCAAGTGTAGCACCAACAACTAATCTTCACTAGGGCCTGTCTGCCTACCACCAACATTATCAGCTGTACAGTAACTCCTGCCTCATGCCATGTCATGAGACACGTGTTAATTAATGTATCAAACCATATGGTGCGTTCATGATGGGGCCAATTAAGCTTATGTAGCAATAGTTTCTGAGGCTACATAAAAGTTCACGATTGGGACATGAAGATTCCAACTTAATCATGTTGAGGCAGATACTACACGTGAGCATCTTGACAACATGGATGCAGTTAGTGAAGCTAGGTCGCTACTCTCAAGAGCCAGCTCAAGGGGCAGTGTGAGCTCAGTTTCCAAACGCAAAGCGGCTGAGGCCAAGCAAATGCTGGTGTAACGAGGAAAAATGGCACACTATGGGGAACTCACAAAACAACAAAAA